TGTCGTGCTTTATTGACCTGCGGGACTCCAGAAGCTGCTGATGAGTACCGGTAGTCTAAGCGGCAGGTGGCTCAGCTGGTCAAAACTCAGGCGTGGAGAAAGACTTCCGTATGGCTCCGAAGCGATTCTGGTCCACAATCCGGCATCTCAGGAGGGGGAAGCAGTGCAGTACCAACACTATTTATAGTTGGGGTGGTCTGCTGCTGACCTCGTCTTGGGACTTTGTATGTCAGTGGGCAGAGTACTTCAAAGACCCCCTTAATCCCACTAACACGTCTTCCATTAAGGAAGCAGAGCCTGGGGGCTCCGGGTCGGGTTCTCCCATCTCTGATGCTGTGGTCACTGAGGTAGTTAAAAAGGTCCTCTGTGGCAAGGCATCCGGGGTGGATGAGATTTGCCTTGAGTACCTTAAGGCTCTGGATGTTGTGGGGCTGTTTTGGTTAACACACTGCATATTTTACATAAACATAATGTAGAATTAATAATAAGTACAAAAATATTGTACTTTATGTATAATGTATTGCTTATCTGTAAATGGGTATAAAAACTACATCTCGATTTGTGATTTCTGTATAAATCTTGCATGTACAACACAAGTGCATTTTGTGCTGCAACTAATGATTATTTAGCAAATCGATTCATCTGTTGATTATTTTATTGATTAATCAATTAATAATTGGAGAGCAAAAGGTTCCTTAAAGAAGATTGTTCACCTTATCAAACCAGGTGAAACCAAAACTTTCCACTATAGTAGTTCTGGATAGAGCATATTGAAAGGAGAAAAAGTTTTTACAATCCTAAATGCAATTTTTTTTTATATCTTTTATAATTTTGATATAAGTACTGCTCTAAGTGGGTTGCTCTGTTAGCTAAAGGCATGTTTTAGAGTCTCTATCCACCAGTTTAGGATTAATCAATTACTAAATTAGTTGACGATTATTTCAATAATCAATTATTCACATTGATTGTTTCAGCTCTAACTGCATTATCTACATCTTTCTATGAAGTTGGCTGTTTTCGGGGAGAGCGACTTAATAACCCTGTCAGATACCATTCCCCCCTTCTTAACATTGGGGGAGCTGCATCTGATGGGCCTAAAAATCATATCAGATAGCATTCCCCATGCTTAACATGTGGGGAAAGGTATGTGATGGGCCTATAAACACTGTCAGATACCTTCCCCAGTGCTTAACATTACCTCTACTCATGGGTGTAAAGTTTTTGGCTACCCTAATCATTTTATTGATTTGAATACCCTAAACTACTTTTCACCGACTTACTGAAACACAAAATTGGTTTGGTAATTTCATTAAGATTTGAACTTCATAGTCAGGTGCATCCAATCATGAGAAAATGTATCTAAGGTGACCAGTTGAAAGTTGTTCTCCTTTTTGAATCCCCTCTGAAGATTCATCATGGGAACCTCAAAAAACTCTCAAATGAAAACAAAGATTGTTCAACATAGTCATTCAGGGGAAGGATACAAAAAGTCGTCTCAGAGAACTCAAAGTGTCAGTTTCCACTCTGAGGAATGTAGTAAGGATTTTTTATGGCTTTGTTTGTGTCATGATTGTTTTAAGAGATCCGACCCACATAAAAAAAAAACACTCAGAGACCAGGGGAAAAAGTTTAACAGGTTTATTGAAAAGGATGGTTTCACAAAGTAGGAACTGGAACTCAGTGAACAGATGAACCGGAACTGGAAAGTCTGGAGGGAAGATCACAGTGATCAGTTCAGGGACCGTGGGAAAATTGGCTGAAGCTTGAATACTGTTGGAGCGGGACTCACGTTTGAGGGGGTTCTTGTTTATCCTTGAATCCCGTCAGTGTGGGTTTATCCAGAGAAGAGGTAACCCGTTGGAGAGCGGACAGGGCTGTCACTTGGATTTCCGTAAGGGACTTGAATGGCTCATATGGATGTTTTCCCCTGCTCAGTGTGAGCTCAGTTAATCCTTCCAGGGGGAGAAGGCCAGGCATCCAGTTACACATGAAGGCTTCCTGCCGAAGAGCAAAGACAAAAACAATATAAGACTCAGAGAAACAAAGGCTCAGGTAAGTCGTTGGAGAGCGGACTGGTTGACATTCGACATTCGTTGGACCCAGAGGAGCTATGGAGCGGCCTGTNTGAAATAAATATATATGAGGGTTTAAAATACTTCAGACTGAGAAAGAGGTTCATCTTTAATCCAGATGGCAAATCTAAACTGACTTAGAAAAAATGTATTATTTTTTTAAACTGTGAACCAATTTGAAATGCTTAAGATCAAAGCCTTAACATGTGGTAGAATGGCGCAGAGAAAGTGTACAAAGCTCCAAATCTTTTCTAAATCATTCTTTGATTGAGTTTTTGAGTTTTTTTAAAGAGTAAGAATGAAAAAAGAGCGAATGAGAGATGGCTCGCTGCAGTGTGCGTCTGATTGAGGCTGTGGCTAATCTGAGGGACATTTCTCTGAGCAAAGTTCAGTCTCTGCTAGAATGGTGTCCATCAGAACCAGCAGGAGCAGCATGGAGGCAGCCCAGAACGAGAACGACACCTTCAGGTTCCTGCAGATGTACTCTCAGGTGAACCAAGGCTGTGGATCTGAGGAAAGGTTTGGAGCCTGGAAGCCATCAGGATAAACTAATTCTGGAGATAAGACAGAACGGGGAGAAGATGGTAATGCAAGCATCTGACTTTACACAATCATTGTTGGCCCTGATTGATCCTGAAAACCAGCAGGATCTCAGTGGTTCCTCAGAGCTGATCTTTGCACCCCAGGCCTCCAATAGTAGCGTGTCTCTGTCTAAAGACAGACAGACTGTTTTCTATAACAGTTGGTTGGGTCAATTTTTTGCCACTCTGTTTATCCGGAAGACTCTCCCAATTCCCATCTATTAGAAATGGAGGCTCAGTCTTACTGATTTGACTGATTGGATGATTGATTTGTGTAATAAAGATTGTGCGAAGAACCCAATGAATATGTCATGATCTGGCCTGATTGCTCTCCCTTAATTAGTCATTCCTTTCACCTATCGTTTTTCCCTCCCTGCCTCAATTATAATTTATTCCTCTCACCTGTTTCCTCTGGTTTATATTCAGTTCAGCCTGAGCATTCAGTGCCAGATCATTACTTGTTCTTCTGTCAGCCTGTCTGTTAGTTTTGTTCCTTGGTTTGTGTCCTGGATCCTAGCAGCCAGTGGAAAGAGGGTTTTTGTGTTTGTCTTGTCTCCTGATCGTCCACTGTTCCTCCCCCGCGGAGTCCTCTGGGTTTTAGCTCATTTTGTGGGGAGGTTCAGTTTTTATCCAGTAAGCCTGGCTCAAGGGAGGAGACCAGTTTAAAGTCCTGTTTCAAGTTCCGGTTCTTCGTGCTGTCTTGGTTACCCTCTTCCACTGAGCCTGCCTGTCTGCACCTGATCCTGTCCGCTCCTGTGCGTGACCACCTGGTCATGCTTCTGGTCCCAGTCAGACTCTGAACCCTCCTGGGAGCCTGTGGATGCCTGAAAATCTGGATCCAGCCCCCTGTTTCTGTTC